AAAATCACAGTTACCTATATAAAAACAAAAGTTTTAAACGTTTTTTGTATAAATTATTATTGAATTTGTTAAATAAATTATATATTTTCTCTACATAAATTTACATAAAAATTACATTAATGTACACAAGACACTTAATTTTAATTTTTTGGAATTAATTTACGTAAAAGTTATCTATTAAATTGTTAGGACTAATTGCTAAAGTTATTAGAAGACATTAATTTTCATTTTCTTTTAAAAAAATAAATTAAAAAACCAAATATCAAAAAATTAGATAACTCATGGTATCCTCTTACGACTAGTTTTTTTGTTTCTGCTTATAGAATCACACTACAAAACCAAATATGTCTCGTCCTCCTAGGTCTTCCAAAATAATCTGATAACCATTTTGGAAAAAAAAAAAATTAGATATTTTTTTAGTGTGATTCATTGTGAAAGCTTCAGGATAAATAGGGTTTTCGAAAAGACAAACACCACAATCAGACCGACCATCTCTTTTCCGTTTACCTGAAGAATTCCTTTTCATTTATCACCAGATACAAATTACAAAAGCAATATTGGTGGGAGTTATTTCGAACCAAACTACACAAACATTGTAAAGCAATATTGTTTTAAAGTAAAGAAAACATTAATCTGATGTTTAGCCGTAACACACATTTAGCAATAGCACCATTGGTTCTGTTCTTCTCCTTCAACCTCAGGCATCAAAGAAGATTTACCAAAAGGTTTCGTTTCACTGTAAATCAAACCAAGCTCGTCGTAGATCTCTTCCCATCTAGGATGAGCCTTATCTCCAACGAGAAACACGTGAAGCTCATCTTTCAGCTCGACCCAACTGCAACCAGGCTCCTTCTTAAGATTAAAGCCTTTCATATTTCTCCTCAATTTTGAAACCTTTTCCCACATTCCTGCGTCTGCGTATACATTCGATAAAAGAGTATAAGTTGAAGCGTCTTGTGGATCCAATCTCAACAGAGCAGCACTTGCTTCTTCTGCAATCTCTACATTGTTTCTATGTATCGCGCAAACTCCTAACAACGTTCTCCATATAACATCGTCTGCTTCGAATGGCATCTCTCGAATAAGCTCTAATGCTTTCTTGACCTTTCCGGATTTTCCTAAGATATCCACCATGTTCGAGTAATGTGGTAGCTGAGGATCCAAGCCGTAGTCTCTTTTCATCATGTAGAAGTATTCGAGTCCTTTGTCGATCAGACCCATGTGAGCACAAGCTCGGAGTATCGATATGAAAGTTACGTGATTCGGTTTGATGTTTTCGAGTATCATTCTCTCAAACAGTTTTATAGCTTCTTCTCCTTTCCCGTGATGTGCATACCCACAAATCATGGCGTTCCAGGTCACGAAATCTCTTTTCAGCGCCTTCTCAAACATCAATCTTGAATCGTGGAGCTCTCCACATTTCGAGTACATGTCAACGAGGGTGCTGCAGATATACACATCAGATTGCATTTCTTTCTTGATGACCTGAGCATGAATCTGTTTGCCTAATCCAGCAGAAGCTAGATTCGCACAGGTATCAAGAACCGTTGCGTAAGTAAACTTGTCAGGAGTTATGCCCATCTCCATCATCCGGGTGAAAACCATCTGAGCATCCTCGCTCTGTTCCTTAGTTACATATCCGGAAATGATTGAGTTCCATGAAACACACATTTCTTGCAGTCTCTTATTGTGCATCTTTTCAAGCTCTTCCGTTGTTCCTGGAATATTGGCTCGGAGAAACAATCGACTATGTATCTTCACTGCCTCTTCTATCATTCCACACTTTGAATACATATCAATCAGAGAGCATCCAACAGAGGAATTTGAAGTCATTCCTAATTTGACAATGCTGGAATGGATTTCCATACTGTAACCCAAAGAATCACCCGCGCAAGCTTTCAATACGCTTCCAAAGGTAAACTCATCAGGTTCGATCCTAGAACGGAGCATCGAGACAAAAAGAGAAAGCGTTTCACATCCTTTACCGTTCTGCTCATGTGCTGCTATAATCGCATTCCAAGACACAGCATCTCTTCTTCTCATCTCATCGAATACACGAAAGGCTTCACCCAGAGCTTGACATTTCCCATACATGTCAATAGCAGCATTTGCAACGCAAACATCTACTGATAAGTTGCTTTTTATCGCCAAACCGTAAACCTGAAGCCCCTCTGAAAGACCTTTCACCAAGGCACAAGCCCTGAACACTCCTGATAAACTTATTTCGTCGAAACCAAGACCCGATGACATGAGTCGGTGAAACAACAGTAGAGCTTTAAAACCATGTTCTTCCTGCGAATAACCAGTAATCATTGCATTATAAGATTGTCGATTAAGATTTTCTGACTTGTCAAACAAAATTTGAGCATCTTGCATATTATCACACTTTGCGTACATATCTAACGTCGCCGTTCTCACTATACCATCTGCTGCAAAATCTGACTTTAAGGCATGAGCATGTAACTGACCGCCTAACCTTAATTCGGATAATGCAGCGCATGACCTCAAGATGCTAGCGTAAATTGACTGGCTCACTCCACCATTTACCTTTTGCATCTCCTTGAACAGCTTCAAAGCAAGGGACAACAAGTTGTTCTGAACACAACCCGCAATTATAGCACTCCACGAGACCGAGTTCTTCTCCGGAATACACTCAAACACTCTAAGCGACTCGTCAAATCTCTTGCATTTTGCATACATATCCAACAATGCACTAGCAGTAACCACATCAGTATCACAACCCACTCGAACAATAACCCCATGAATCTGCATTCCCAAATTGGTTTCCTCTAAACAAGAACATACTTTCAAGATGATGGCAAAAGTTCTACCGTCGAACTCAATACCTTCTCTCCCCATGTCAACGAAAATCTCAATACATTTCAAACTCTCACCATTATGCAAATACCCAGAAAGCATTGAATTCCATGACACAACATCTCTCACAGTCATCGTATCGAAGAAAGAACTCGCTTTAACCATGTCTTTACTCTTCGCGTATCCATTTATCATTGTGTTCCACGAAACAACATCTCTCAGAGGCATTCTGTCGAACAACATATAAGCAAACACAAAATCTCTAGAATTTGTGTAAACTTGAAGCAAACAATTCAACACGTATGTAGTCGGACGAAACCCAGATAGTATCATATGAGCATGAGCTTGCTTGCCTAGCTCTAACGCTCCTTGCTTCGCACATTCCTTGAAAACAAACGAAAAGTTGGTCGTGCTTGTTGAGTTTACTTGATTCACAAAGTCCGTAAGATAAGAAGCAATTGGGACCCTTCGGTAAGAGATTTTGTCTCTCAGACAACGATGGGTTAAAACCACTGTTCTAGTCATATGCAAGAACCTGAGATTCTTCGTCATATAGCCCTGTTCGCCACGTGGTCGCAGCGATCACTTTCTGCGTCAACAAAATGCACATCGACTGAGTCCAAATTGTTAAAATGAGTCGCCGCTTTTACTGAAAGGTGTCGCAACTGTCGCTCGAAATTCCAGCGATCCCTTTTGTGTAACGCGACACCTCTCTCTCCCTCCTGCGACACCTCTAATAAATCGTCACCGTCGTTTTGCTTTGGGCTTTGCTGCTGTTGCCGTCGTTTTGTTCAGTCGCAGAGACAATCTCAGTCGCAGATAGAATCAATGACGAAGTTCAATCTCAGTGGTATCTATGGCGGGATCGAAACGACTACAATCGATTCGGTTCAGTTTGGTTTACTTGGTTCCAATATGAAAACCTGACACTAACATCTTTGATCACCGGTTCTCGTCATAATATTTGTTTATATAACTAAATATCATCAAAATAAACAAAAAGTCGTTGTAGTATAGTGGTAAGTATTCCCGCCTGTCACGCGGGTGACCCGGGTTCGATCCCCGGCAACGGCGTCCTTCTTTTTAATTCGTCATTACCTTCTTTTTTTTCCTTCCAAATTTTGTCTCACGTGGCAGAATCTTAATCCACGAGGAAATCCCTGCAATTACACGTCATAATATTATATCCTTTGTGTACTATACGAAATAGTATTACAATACGATTTTCCCTCTGAAA